ACATATGTATATATAAATTAATTGATCTAATTGACTAAACTTAATTAACTAATTTAATTAACGTAATTAACTACATTTGGCTGTGAAAATACCCACAAAAGATTATTTAAAGTTATTATTGTGTTAAATTAGAAAGTATAAGTAGTAGGGCTGGGCAAGTTAATGCGTTATTATTGTGTTAAGGCATTAATTGATTAACGCCGACAATTATTTTATCGCGCATTAACGCAGTTTTTTATTATGAAAGTCCGTTGCTCACTGGCTCTGAATACACATACAGACAAAGCATGGGTCACAGGAGGGGTAAGATGTTGATCAGTACTGGCTTGGGATGGGTGTCATCACGTGTCTCAACCTGAGAGCATTTGGGGTGGTCCTAAGACTGCAGCAGCGCTCATGACTTCGGACTAGTTTTGTTAACTTTGTGGTTAACTGGCCAACTGGCCCACCTCTTCCTACTGAGCCAGGGATGGCTTAACGAACCGTGCCCGAGCGCGGCACAGAGTGATCACACTAGTCAAACGAACTGGGCTTTGGGGGTCAAACGCGCTTGGGCACGGTTAAGATTGCCTAGTGTAAAAGTACACCCTTATTCTCCCGCATCCCATACACACGAGTCTCTACCCGCCCGCACTCGCCCATCAAGTGTTATGCCACGCCGCACTCTGCTGCGTTGTGTCCCACGGGAGTCCAGGTCTCTACACGGAAGGTGCCTGTTATAATGTTACGATAGAGGCTCTGGACTCTGAGCATAATTTCTTTTTCTATAACAAACTATAAAATATTTTCTATAAAAACGTCAATGCCCTGGCAGTAGCAAATAGCTTTGGTTTTATATTTAATTTGATTACAGTAATGTTATAAGTTGAGATTTACAAGAACTATTTTAACTGCTACTATTTAAAAGGAATACTGCTGTAAAAAGCACCTTATTTAGCTTCAGGGATCTTATCTATGCATAATCAGCTTGTAACACTCCAAAGAGAAAGGAAAACTTGAAATCGCATCATATGACCCCTTTAAATTAAAAAAATGCACAATACACTACTTTTGAATTCATTGAATTTTGTGCATAACAATGCGATTAATTGCGGTTAATCGCAGAAAATCATGCGATTCAAAATTCTAATCGTTGCCCAGCACTAACAAGTAGACATTACAAATTTAGAAATAAATATTTTATTCAACTCAACATAAAATGTATTACACATAAACGTTTAGGCTACAATGGTCTAACATAAACGATGGAACATAAAAGAAGATCATTTGTAATTCATTTGTAATAAAAAAAAATATTTTTTGTTCATGCAATGAAAGTCACTGGTAACCAAAACAGCTTGGTTATAAACATTTTTCAAAATACCTTCTATGTAAGAAAGTAAGTCATTCAGGTCTGAAAAGACATGAGGGTGAGTAAATGATTTGGGATAGGGCCAACAGCTCTCTCTATGAATGGGCCTTTGAATCATTGGTTCACACGATTCGTTCAAAACAAGTATTCATTCAGAAACTAAGCACCGCTATTGCTCACAGACGCATAGTTCTGCGGTGGCTTCATTGGTAATATTTTCGTTGGCAAAATTGAGAAAAAACACAATATTGTTTAAAATATAACACAATATTAACTTCTTATTTACTGAACTGTTGTATAAAATAGCATTTGCGCACTTGCTATTTGTGACAAAAACAGCGCTTGTGTGATATTGCTCTCACTGCTCGTGTGATATCGCTTATCATGTGATTTAATGAGACAAAAACTCATACAGCGGCATTTATGCCCCAATATCTGAAATTTCAGGGCATAACTGCATTTATGGAGTTGTTGCCCTGCATCATATTTGTCAACAGTCAACTGTAGGAAATGTAACATGTTGTACAGGTCTAGGGGCGGGGACAGTGCGTTAACTGCGTTAAAATATTTTAATTGCGTTATTTTTTCATTACTAATTAATTAACACGTTAAGTATATATATATATATATATATATATATATATATACACACACACACACACACACTTATGAACATCTCTGAGTTTGCATAGTCAAATACTTATACATGGATTTACAAATGAATGGTTAGTTAATATATTAAATCTTACCTCTTTTTAATCAGGAAATTACCTAAGCTATATATAAGCCTATATAGTGTCCTTGATAGTATAAATAAATACAAATTGGGCAACATATTAAACATACAGGCAGAGCTATGGCTACATACAAACTGTCTACAAATAATACATAAATAAGGCTATCAGACAATGTGGCTTTTATAAGTTTGGATGCGACATGTGAATGTTCATATAAAAAATAACTGCACAGGCCTGATTAATGCAACCGCATTCTGTTTTACATAACACGCAGAGTAAATATAAAAAAAACTGAATAAATATATAATGTGAGGCATGTGCGTGTAGGTTAATTCTGTGTTCGTTTGTTTTTCAAAAGCGTCTAAATGCATTGAGAAATGATGCTGCGTGGATGAGACAAATATAAAAATCATGCCTACCGTGTATCTCATATTTTTCTGATGCTTTATTCTTGGTTAGTTAAATCAGTTTCCTCCAGTGCCCGGTCTTGACATTTTATTTAATGCATAGGCCTACAGATAAGCTATATTGTATACTAAAAAGCTATTTTGTATAATCCTGTAGTATAATAACCTAAATCACAAATAAGACTTTTCCCTTTTCCCTTCCGAAAAGATGCTCTACGACTTGACATCTATATATAGATGATCATTACGCGCTGTTTATATGTTTATATACTGCATAATAACTGCTGCGTTGATTGTTCAATCGGATGTCTCGAGCAGAAGAAGGCTGGCGTACGGGTTTATCGCATGCGACTGCAGATGTGAATGCAGCAGATTCTGTAGCTCAGTCTTTGCCAATATTGCTGATAATATCTGAGCTTCTGACATCAAACAGGCACAAATGCATACAGCATTGTGTGGTTAAAAGAATCAGTTAAATGCAGAAAAAAATATTTCACGCTCTTAGTGCCTTTAACATGAAATTAACGTTAACGTTGCACTTTCTCCGTCTTCATTCCGTGCGGTCAGGCACAAATGTAGCATTATTAATTGTTTTGTTAAAATACTACACTGTATATCAGCCTACATGTTGTCCGTGTTAAATCTTGATTTGCTTACATGTTCATTTCAGTTCATTTAAATTGAATGGAACCATATTTAATCTGTAACGCTGTTTATAATGTTGTAGTTAGGTTCCATAGTGTAGCGGTTATCACGTCTGCTTTACACGCAGAAGGTCCTGGGTTCGAGCCCCAGTGGAACCAGGATTTTCAACAGGATGATGTTTTAGGACGCATATATAGTTTTACTTACATTTAGCAGATGCTTTTATTTACTTTATCAGTTTATAATTTCTTTATCAGTGTATCCTGCATTCAGTAATGATGTTAGGGCCATTAACAGGCCCGGATTGGCTAATCGGGAGCACCGGGAAAATTCCCGGTGGGCCGGTCTGTTTTTTGGCCGCGAGGGCCGGTAATGTCATGCAATTCAAAGAAGCGTCCCGTATGAAAGCTATAACACAGTTTGTCCCGTATTCGCAGGCATACGCCATATGACCACCAGACCATATGAATAACACATTCTCAATTGATAATTAATCATTATTTTTGCGCAAAATATTGTTTAATTTGTGAACGTAGCTGGTTGATGAATGCTTTAAGACCAAGCGGAATCCTCCGCCGGCTGCTCCTGTTTCACGGCGAGCAGGACTCGCGCTTACGTCCGCGGTTTGATTTTGGCAAATCAGTTTGGGCGAATGCAATTTATTGATCATGAGCACAAAATTTAGCAAGGCAGGAAAACATTTAATCTACCTGAGGGGAGACGTCTTCCACTATTGTAAGTTAAGGCTGTTAAATAGAGAGGAAAATACATTTAAAAAAATGTAACTTCTAGCGCATTCTTAAACTTGGACCTCATTTTATTGAAGTAGAAACCCAAGCACCAGAAGCAGCCCACACTCAGCCCACAAGTTTTCTTTAATTGAAAAATAGGCATTTTCATTCATTCATAGGCTGTATGGTTGCAATAATAGCCATTTTAGTTCAAAACACTTAAGTGCATAGACGTTTCATAGACGTTCAGTTGTTATGCTTTCAAATTTCTTGCTATTTGTATGTATGTAATTTCACAGTATTCTCACCTCCTAAATTACTACACTGCTTGTGCAGTCACGATGTTATAATGGTACAATTTACTCAGGCCTATGACTTTTTTTTTTCTTTTCTTTTTTGTATGACATTACAATTCTTTTTAGAATATAGGTTAAGCAAAACAAATGTGATTATTTCTGAGAACTTTTTAACTGCAGGCAGACATTATGCCTAGGCATTATTAGGCATACATTATACATAATTATGGCCTACAAATGTTTTGTTGGAGATATGCGAGCAAAAAATGTATAATAGAAAGCGCAAAGGCGGCGAGTAAAATAATAATAAAAAACAAAGCTGTAGAAAAATATAATGAATTGCAAGTCTGTAGAGAACAGTGTGCTATTGCAGACTTATATAATCCTTCAGAAATCATTTTAATATGCTGATTTGCTGTTTATCAATATTTAAAACAGTTGAGTACTTTTTTTTCAGGATTCTTTGATTAATAGAAAGATCCAAAGATCAGCATTTATCTGAAATAAAAAGCTTTTGTAACATTATACACTATTCCATTCAGTATAATTTGTATTATTTTTTTGGGAAAGAAATTAATACTTTTATTTAGCAAGGATGCTTAAAATTGATCAAAAGTGATGATAAAGACATTTATAATGTTACAAAAGATTTCCATTTCAGATAAATAGTGTTCATATCGATATCGGAATTATATCGTATCGACCGAAATTAAGAAATATATCGTGATATCAATTTTGGCCATATTGTCCAGCCCTATACTGAAGTTTTAATTATTGTAATAGCTATAGTCAGTCGTGAATTAAAGTGGGCCGCTCGAAGGCATGAAACTCCAGGGCTGAAAATGACTCCCACTCCGGCCCTGGCCATTAATGTCTGTATACCCACCTTATTCCAGTTATTTTAGCTGTACAAACAGTGCATTAACTGTAAAGAGCTTATTTCCGTATTTAAAAATAAGGTGTATGCGGTGTTTTCTACCAGGGGTCTGTGGGGCCTTTGAAGAAATAAAACATACAAAACTAATATCTACTAACCATTTTGACTAATGATCAGCGTATGTTACTCTTAAATGAAGTTATTATATATTAAAGGGTATGATTTTATTGTAGTCACCAGCAGAAAAATCATTACCGAAAAAGTGGAGATGCCGGGGATTGAACCCGGGACCTCATACATGCGAAGCATGCGCTCTACCACTGAGCTACATCCCCACGTGACTAAACTGACTAGTAATTTTTTTCTTAAAAATAGAAGAACAGCAGTATATTAATTCTTTTAGCTTTAACTGCAAGTTTGTAGCACTTAGAGAGAGCCACATACAGAATTTTACCGGGAAAACCGTTACATTAAAAACCTATTACCGGTAGATAACTTAAAAGTTTTCTGAAATTAACCCTGCTACACTTAAAAGTTACACTTCAAACGCTGAAAGAAGAAACATTGCTAATGTTGAACATGAAAATACAAAGGGTTTCTTCTAAACGTGTGAACAGTGTTGGCAACTGTCACGCATTTGCCGTGACACACCAGATTCAAGACCAAATTACAATAACGCAAAATAAATAACGAAACCTGCTCACAGGATTTCCCCACCAGAACAGTACCTGATTGGTCTGAAACAGTTACTCCTGATCGGAAACAATTACAAAACAAAGTGTAAAATGCTGATTTCTAAATACTGTCATTTTCTGCGTATTGCTTTCTACAGCACTGCAAGAGCTGACAGCGCCATCCAGCGGACACCCTTAGCATCTCAGCCAGCCTGAGCCAGGGTCCAAAATGAACATTCGCCAAGCACCAAAGGCAAGTACAAGACGGCTTGGCGAGTATATTCATGAAAGCAAAAAAAGTACCCAAAAGTTATACTTAAGTTAAAGTACAGATGCTCAGTGAACATTTTACTCAATTAAAAGTACAAGTAAATGGCCAAAAACATACTTGAGTAAAAGTAAAAAATAAATAAATAAAAAGGTACAGCTTTGAAGTGTATTTAAAAAAGTAGAAATACCCTAGCAACAATCAATCAATCAATGAGAAACAGAGAGAGGAGATTCGTGTAATTACGTAAAAATAAATAGCATAAAATGTTTTGTCAGTGGGGATACAAGATTTGGTTAAAAGGAGAAAACAAAACAAACCACAATGGCTGCATGTCAAAAACTTCTAGTGCATACAACAACAATTAAAATGCAGCACAGTTGAGCACAAAAACACCAGCCTTTAAAGGGAAACTCCATCCTTTACACCCTCATGCTATCTATGTATATGATTTTTATTCTTCAGATGAACTCTAACAAAGATTTTTTTGAAAAGTGAAATGTGTACAGGACGTCCAAAGATGATGCTTCAAACACTATAAAGTGAGCATGGCATTAATTCATTACTATTTTAAACTTCACTGTCATGATCACTTTGTGTGGTTTTTGAAGCAGGCTCATATACTTGAATTATGCACTAAAAATCTTTTTTTTTTTTCCCTTTTTTTTTTTTGTGAAGAAAGAAAGTCGTGTACATCTGGGATGGCATCAGGTGCATAAATGGTGAAAGAATTTTCATTTTTGGATGGAGTATCCCTTTAATGAGCCAGATGTGATGCAGCAGCCAGAAACATTCCAGACAGAATACAAGAATGTGTGTTGAATTAATGATGAGTGACATATAATTAAAACATACAATACTGACTTTTTGAAAAGCCACTTTTTGTGTTGTCTATTCTGTGCTCCAGTCTGTAACAATAGTGAATCTTTTAATTGTTTATTTGGGGGATTTAGAGGTTTGTTTTTTTTAAATTATGATGTTAAATTATAATGTAATTATTTGTGATTAATTAATTAGATTAATTAATGAGCAGATCGTGTAATTATTTAGATTAAAATAATTAATTGACAATCCTAATTGTTACTAAATATATCATTATAATACTACCTATCCACTCCCTGTAAGAACATCAAGATGATTTGCAGTTAATTTAACATATAATGTTCATTTAAACACTTTTGGAGATTTATAACATTTAATTAAAAACGCAATCATGGCCACCAAAATATTCTCATCACTGATTTTATTTGTACTCAATCTTGTGCATTTAGCCAATATAGACAGAAATTTCCCTGATGAAAGTTATAACTGGAGTTGAAATGCGTGTACTTAATGTGCAAAAACAGCGTGCATGTATGAGATTGTTTACCATATTTAATGTGCATAAGATTGAACAAAATAAAATGTAAAATATGTACTTTTAAAGTTTAAATAACATTTTAAGGAGTTAAAAGTGTTTTTTCTTTGGAAATGTAATAAGGTAAAGATACTAGTAGTCAGTTTAAATTGTACTCGAGTAAAGTGTTATCAAAATTGTGAAAAAAAAAATTAAAAATTAAAATTGTCATTATTTACTCATCCTTTATTTACTCATTTACTCACCCATGTTGTTCCATACTAGTATACTTATTGAAGTCAATGTCTACTAGCAACAGTTTGGTTACCAACATTCTTCAAAAATAACTTATTTTGTGTTCAACAGAAGAAAAAAATTCATGGTTTGGAACAATATGAGTGTGAGTATTGTTGTGTCATTT